CCTGCTTCCCCGGCCGCAGTCCCACGGACGCTGCTCCTCCTGCCCCAGCCCAGGCCCCTTCCCACTGCGCTTTCCCTGCCCCGGGCTGATCCACATCGCCCCATTTCCTCTCTCCCGCTAAAGCACGCTGCTGCATTTCTTTTCACCTGTCTCGTGGTCTCATGATCACTGAACGGTCTAATGGTTTCCACACGCAGTTAATTGACACCACTGGTTTCTCTTAGAGCCCTAGAGACCAAACTGCAGTGTCAAAAATAAGTTGGTTTTAGGCTGCTTCGACTGCAGGTGAGTTTCCTCCCCCCATATATATCTATATAAACAGTTAGTTGTATAGCAAAGCCTAGTTTTGAGCCTGGATCCTGCATACACAGTACGATTCTGTGTTAGCAGCATGATTTTTTTCTGCAGCGAGATTTGACTGGGTCAAGCACTCAGAGTCAAAAGCATTAAAGTATCCAAAAAATGAAGCCTTCCTTACAGCAGAGACAAAACTTACAGGTGGAAGCCAAATAACTAAGTGTTTACTCACAGCTTAGGTTGCAAAATGTTCATGTCCTTCATGCTGTGCCTTCCACAACCCCAATCACCATCTGCTTTAGCTAGCGCATCCTGCCCCTATAAAAGGCTCGAGCTCTACAGCAGCAGACACGCACGTATATTCAGCTTGGATACCCAAGGATATATATCATAGTGTTACTGTCTCTGCCTGGCTGCACCAGGAGCTCTGAACCCCTTGGCTGATTTCAATCAACATTACCGAAGGCAAGCTCTTTAAAGCCATCAGTCTTCCATAGTTTTCACGAAAATGGGCACTTGGTAGCAGAGAGAAAAAGCAAACAACCCACACAGTGCCTGGGCTAAACCATACCATGCGTCCACTTCTTATTAGACACCAAAAATCTATACATGATTTCCTAAAGCTTCACTGCAGATTTGGGCTTTATTTAGCCACCAACCACAGCCAGCCACAAGATAAAATATATTTATAGGGTTCTCTGTGATTTGTAAGTGTATTTTAAAGTATAAAGGGGTTTGTGTGTGTGTGTGTGTGTGTATACATACACACACACAAAAAGATAATTTGAAGTCTATTTTAAAACATTAGAATCAGCTACATCCCCTGAAATCTGCAGGCAGCCCAGCCATGACCTAAAGCTTCTAACAACCTGGCAAGAGCTGCACGTTCCCAGAGCCGTCTTCCTCGTGGCTGGCTTCCAGGGGGCTTGGGAATCACGTCCCCTACTCGAGGGACAGCAGATTTCCAAAGCCTTTCCAGATGTTTATCTTGGCAACCTCGAAATCAAACATTAACAGGTGTAATTAGCAGCCTGGCCACATCTGGATCTTGCAGATGGTTACTGGGTACAGGTGAGGAGACCAAACAGGAGTGGATCCTGCAAGTGGGTGAGATCATTGCACCCCTGTCCTACACACGTGACGCTGGCTGGCACTCCCCACCTTGGCTTAGGATGCAGCTTTCTATGCGTTCCCGTACCATCAGAACGGCTCACGTGTTGAATGAACAGCTCAGACCAGCCAGGACGCAATGGCCCAACGCAAGGAGCAGCCGGTGGCCACCGCGGCACAGCCCTCGTGAGCCAGGTCTGGCGTCGGGGGGCTCAGCTCAGCGCTGCCCGGGGTGGCTTTGGCAGGGCACATCTTCTTGGATCAGGGCTAAACTGCCCACCTCGGGCGGCACCAGGGATCACGCAAGCAGCACGTTCTTGGGTGCAGGACAACACCCCGGGAGCGCTGTGCTGACCGAAGCAATATCTTATATAGCCTTACAGGAGAAGATCTTGACTCATTCTTCTCTCTCTTCTGTCCCAAGCTTTCAGTCCATGATCTAATTAAACTCCTGCATCAAGTTTTGCCTCTCAAAAATCTCTTCTACAACATTAACTCGAAATCCAGTCGCTCTGCACCCTTAGAAGATGATGCATTTTAGGAAGCAGCCGTGCAAATGCATAGGAGACCTTGACATCCCCAGAACGAAAGTCCCAATGACAGCCGTTGCTGACAGTTATCTGATCGCTGCTCGCTACTCATCAGAGCACACCCTACACATAACCTACATCTCTTAGGGCCACGCATGAAGTTTCTGCAGTGCACGAGTGCGCACGTACATGTTAGCCTGAACTCGCTGCTGCCGTGCAACCTGCACAGCTCAGCATTTAACTGTTCCACGGACACGGGGCAGAGGGGAGGAGAAAATTTAAGGAGCTGGAGGGACGCATCAGTTTGTACCTACAACCTCCAAGGGCACAAAGAAAATGAGCCAACTTCAAGACTACATTCCCAGGCTTAGAGCTAGCCACATACCTAGGCAACTCATTGAGAAATTATGTAAAAGCACAGTCCTGACAGTCAGGCTTGAATTAGTCCATTTTTCTAATCTCTATAAATCTGATGCTTTTCATTCTGAAGATTTATACCATTATCATTATTTTTCTTTACAAACTAACTCCATTGCTTGTCCTAGATAAATATAGGCACAATTCTGATCCATATTTTGAAGGGTATTTCTTTCAAATCACCCTCTCTATTTAGCTATCCTAAATATGGCAGCCTGGAACATTACAGTACTGAAGACCTACAGAATTACTTGCACAGAGATTCTTGCAATGTTTCTAACCCCAGAACACAATTAGACCGAGCATTTACAGAGCACAACGAGTATCTGACTACGCGGTGCATTTGTGTACTAGCAGGGGTTGAGAGCTTCCAAGTAATCAAAGGGATTTATTTTAGGGAAATTGGGAAAGACGCATGACTACGTATTCTAAACAGCTTAGATGAACTCAACCGAAACGGTCCAGCAAAGCACATGTCCAGGCAGCCTGTCAGAGACACACAAGCAGCGTTTAATGCACAGGCGCAGCGCACTACAACGCCGTGAAAACATTCACAACTCACTGCCTGGTGAGCGAGCGAACAGCTCACTGCGGTCACGCACCAGTGAGGAGTTTCGGGTTTGGTTCGGCAATGAACTGCAATAACCAGTCCCTTGGGAACCAGGAGTCACAGACTACACAAATCAAGTTGGTTGGTGTTAACTATTGATACGGACACTCAAGAGCAGCTCCCGAGGGAGCGACAGCGGGGGCAATGCTCCTGCTGCTCCTCCCTCACGTCTGCAGGCAGCGAGCGGCACACGCTGCGCCCGACGGCAGGGATGAGGACACAGACGTGCGTTTACGCAGCAGGCGCACCCCAAGCCCTGCTTCTTGACTGAAGCACTCCAATGGCTCACTGTAGACCACTGTGCCTCTGGATCTCACTACTGGGGACAGGACCAGGTCACCCCTTCAGCGGGGACAGCACGCAGCCTCGGCCATTGCTTGCTGGGTATCACGCTGTTCATCACCCTCCCAGCCCCTCCGGAGTCACCCTTACCTCCATCAGCGTACGTCTCGGTGCCATAGCCATCCTGCAGGCCGTTGTTCCAGGTACCTTCATACTTGGCTCCGCTGCTCATGCTCTGCCTCGCGCCATACCGTCCCTTAAAGCCATGGGTCCACTCGCCTCTGTAAACCCACCGTCCTTTGGTCTCGATTCCTAAGCCATGTCTCTTGCCTTGGGACCAGTAGCCTTCGTAGGTGTTACCACTGGGCCACGTGTATATGCCCACCACTTCAAAGCCGTAGTTCCAGGACCCCGAGTACTCGCCCTGGCCCTTGGGGCCGGTGCAGATGCCGTGCCCGTGGGCTTTGCCCCCTTCCCAGCCCCCGCAATAGGCGCCTCCATCATCGAAATCAAA